CGTACCTGTTCTATCATTCAAAATGGTACAGGGATCTCTCTCTGGGGCAAATAGCGGCTGTCGATTAAGGAGATGCACCTAGAAATAAAGCCACCACTGCTTGGCTCCAGAGAGTAGGGTCCCTTTGCTCATATGCACGCAGCTCAACCAAGGACACAATATGAGCATAATTATGCACAGAATTCTGGTTACTGTCGAAGAGTTTCCAAAGCCTGTGAAAATAATGTTTCCTTGGCGCTACCAATTTTTCCGGACGTACGATAGTAGATTTAGGCACCTACCGCAGCACCGCGCATATACGTGCGTGCACAATAGCGTGGTATAACCGGCAGGGCTGTTGGTAGCAGCGTCAACCAGTGTATTTATTCCACGATGAACACAGTTGGTGAGCTATCGGCTCAACCTAAAATATCTGCTGCAGCAAATACTATTTTGCGTATTGCGTAGATGGATGCATAAGGCGTGTTCATGACTGCCTGAGAGTGAGGATTCTAGACCGTCACCTACGTTATTGGCATTGGCGTTAGCTTTTTGTCAAATGGATGCAGTACGTGGGGACTTGCTGATTGGGGTTGAGCTTGTCCTTCCTGTGTAAACAGACAAAAAAAACAAAAAAGACGCCTTCCCCTATCTCATCAGCAGTATGCGCATTGCAAAATTTTGCAAGCCCTCGCCTTAGACCTTTCTGGACCGCCACTGCGGAAGACTAGTTTGCTGCACAGGAATGTGAATATCAGCCGCCTTGCCTTTTTCTGGTTTTACGGAGAACCCAGCTGGCCCTTTACGGGCGCCAACTTCCACTTTGGTGGGTCGGCTCAGGTACAAGAAGATTCATAGTGTTAATTCCTGCCCACAAGAGGTCAAGGGCTTGTTCACTTCTCTTAGAAAGTGCGTACTCCCCTTCCCGCACGTGACTCGCTTTTACAGCAGCTTTAATATATATATATATATATACTGCTTTAGTCTTTCAGCTGTGTGCGACTTCGTACCTGAGGGGACCGCGGATGCTGGGGACGGTCATTGAGACAGCGCGTAAGCCCTTTGCCTCCGCCGATAACAACGCAGTGGCGTGCATGCACCGCTTAAAGGAACATCTCGCAAAAAGGCTAAAGCATGGCCAGCACCATCTCTGTAGATAGCTGAACAGGACTTGGTTTGCAGTTGAGTCGAAGGGAAGCAGGACAAATCGGGATTCCTGCAGAAACGTCCTGTAGTGCAATTTTGCCATGGATGAAGTGAGCCTGCGCCTTGATTATAGTTAGAAGATAAGCCATGTACTGACAAGGGCCTAATGAAATCTGCCTTTGAACACAGCCAGCGTGTACGCCAATTAGTGTTGCATCTGCTTATGGCGCGTCAGTGAGACTTAACGATAATGCACAGCCGCATCAAGCGAAAGACAGCGTGCTACAGGCGAGTATTTTTTAACGAGACTGAGAACTTTAATGCTAAGCAAGGTTTGTTATGCAACATGTTGGCCTCAACAAGCCAAATGGAAAGCAGCTGTTTTAATGTGACCATGTCATCCAGCAGGGCTAATGCTACCCCGCCGGATTCACGTGAGGACTACATAGGCGTGCGCGCTGTAAGCAGCCAGACATTAGCGAACTGCTGTTTACATTTTCCACGCTAGGCGGAGTTACGTTTGGTGCTGAAAGCATCTTTGCACAAAGTCGGGCTCCTGCAGGTGTTCCAGTGAAGAGACAGTGCCCCCATCAGAGTTTGCGCCTACATTTCAGTGACTTTCTAGGTTGAATTGGTGTTTTCTAAGCAAGCGTACTCCATCCAATGCAAAATCAATCGCAGTAGCTTAATTATTGCTGAATTTATTGGGGGCTCTCCTGCGATGAGTCTCTTCAGCTTGGCATTACACATAAGCCACTATGGCATCTCATTGAAAAATGGCTCATTCGAAATGCTTCCCCCAGTGTGTGCGTTTAGCAAATTGGACTGTAAACTAGATGACGTTGAAGACGGTGTAGACCACGCTGGAGAAGCTGAAGAGGGCTCGGAAGAGGAATTTCCGGTTGACGAGGAGTTTATAAACAATCTTCCACAAGTTTAGGTATTTAGTGCAGTGTTTAGCAAAGGAAAGGCTTTCGCCCGGTATTTCTCCTGATGAGTTCGCCTTCTTGTAATCACTCATTTTGGGGGATGATCATTTATATTTAGGCAGCAGTTGGTTTTACAGGCAGCGTGACTACGTGTTTGTTTTTTTTGGGAGGGCAGTTGTGGAGGTCATTCGGCTCGCCACCCTTATCTCTCTTGTGCCGCGTGCCAAGGTAAACTGGTGTACTCCATGGGTATTGCAGATTTTAAGCGTTTCCACTTGAGTCATGCACAGGTGCATGCTGGGCATTTCCTGAATTCGTTGTTGCTTTCGCTCAAGAAACCCGTGAGTATCGGCCATAATGAAGTGGTATTTTCTACAGAAGCAGTTCGGTAAATCTAGCATTTAAACCTACGAAGGCTTGTAAAGGCGCCTCTGTTGGGAATGTAGGTTACCCGTGAGCGCTTGCGCGCTTGGTGCTTTTAGAAATTGCCGAAAAACTGAACGGCAGAACTCCTGCGCATTTGATCAAAACGAAAAAGGACTAGGCGGTTTGTGCAGTAACTGCCCGCGGTTAGTAGTGCTGGCCAGCGCGCTATAGCTGGTTCCCCAGTAGCAAACTAGATATGATATTGTTTGTACCCAGACAGACGACCTAGCACGGAACTCTATACGGCTCATTGCTGCTCCTTTTTGTTGGCCACTGCTAGACGAAATAGCCGCTAAATATCAAAGCAAAACGCCTGCTAGGTTCGCCAGTGGGGGGAGTGCTTGCCCTTGTTACGTAGAATTTACTCCCCGACCTTGAAAGGCTTGGCGAAGGGTTCAGAGTAAACCCTTGCACCTAGCCAGACAACGATCATTGCGTACCCCGTTCAACCCTTCGCAAAGCCTTTTAAGGTCGGGGAGTAAATTCTACGTAACAAGGGCAAGCATCACCCGTGGCGCAGACCCTTACCACTGCCTGCTCTTCGTAGTAGTTCGCTGCTAGAATATATATATATATATATATATATATATATAT